CCTTTTCTAAATCCAAAAAATGCAATAAAAACTTCCCTATCTTTATCTAAATACTGTTACAATACTTAAATGTAAACCCCATCACACATCCCCTACCCACTCTAAAACCTCCTTGCTCATCCCCAATCCCACATTCTGTCTTACCTCTAATTCTTTCAATTATAACCCTTACCGTACACTTTTCCTGGTATACTCAGTAAGCTTATTCCTCTATAATTTTTACAGTCTCTTTTGCCCTTTTTTCCCCTTTATATAAAGGGACTATACATGCTCTCTGCCAATCCCTAGGTCCCTTTCCCCCTCTTTCATACATTTTATTAAACAAAAGTACCAACCACTCCAAACACTATTCCCCCCCCCTGCTTTTAACATTTCTGTCATGATCCCATCAGTTCCAGCTGCTTACCCCCTTTCATTTACTAATGCCTCACGTACCTCCCCCACACTTACATTCTGCTCTTTTTCACTCCTAAAAGAGGGTTTATACCTCCCTGACCAGTGCATGAAATTACTGCCTCTGTTTCTTCCTTAACATTTAAAAGTTCTCAAAATATTCTCGCCATCTACCCAATACCTCCATCTCCCCATCTACAACTCCCCTACTCTTGTTTTTAACTGACAAATCCATATTTTCCCTAGGCTTTTTTAAACTTGTTAACTCACTCCAAAATTTTTTCTTATTTTCATTAAAATTTTTTGACAGTGCCTCTCCCACTCTATCATCTGCTCTCCTTTTGCACTCTCTCACCACTCTCTTTACCTTTCTTTTACTCTCCATATACCTGCTCTTCTTATACCCTTCTGCTTTGTAAAAACCTCTCATAAGCTACCTTTTTCTCTTTTATCACACCCTTACTTCATCTTTCCCCAATCACTCCTCTTTCCTCCTGCCCCCACCCTCGTATAACCACAAACTTCACCCCCCACATTTTTAATACTGCATTTTTAAAACTATTCCAACCCTCTTCAACCCCCCCACTACTCATCTTTGCACTAGCCCACCTTTCTGCCAATAGTCGCTTATATCTCACCCGAACTTCCTCCTCCCTTAGTTTATACACTTTCACCTCCCTCTTACTTGTTGTTGCCACCTTCCTCTTTTCCCATCTACCTCTTACTCTAACTGTAGCTACAACTAAATAATGATCCGATATATCATTTGCCCCTCTATAAACATTACATCCTGGAGCCTACCCATCAACCTTTTAATCCCCCAAATACATAATCTAATAAACACTTTAAATTACGTGCTACATCATACCTTGTATATTTATTTATCCTCTTTTTCATAAAATATGTATTACTTTATTACCAAAATTTTCTTTCTACACATAGCTCAATTAAAGGCTCCCCATTTACATTTACCCCTGGCACCCCAAATTTTTCCCTACTACTCCCCCCTAACATTTTTACCCACTTTAGCATTAAAATCCCCAACCAAACCATTACTCTCACATTTGATTCAAAACTCCCCACGCATTCACTCAACATTTCCCAAATCTCTCTCTCTCCTCTACACTTCTCTCTTCTCCAGGGGGCATACAACGCTTATTAAACCCACTTTTCACATCCAATCTTTATTTTACTCCACATAATCCTTGAATTAATACATTTATAGTCCCTCTTTTCCTGCCATAGCTTATCCTTCAACATTATTGCTACTTCCTTCTTTAGCTCTAACTCTATTTGAAACCCCTGACCTAATCCCATTTATTCCTCTCCACTGAAACTCTCCTACCCCCTTCACTTTGTTTCACTTAAAGCCAGGACATCCCGCTTCTTCTCATTCATAACATCCACAATCATCTCTTTCTTATCATCTGCACAACATCCACGCACATTCAGACTTCCCACTTTGACAATTTTTTTCTTCTTATTCTTTTTAGTAATCTTACAGGAAAAGGGGTTACTAGCCCATTGTTTCCCGGCATTTTAGTTTTACTTTTACAACACGCATGGCTTTCGGAGGAAAGATTCTTATTCCACCCTTTCCCCCTGGATATAAAAGGAAAAAATTAAAAAAGACCAAGAACTATTAAGATAAAATCAAAGAAACTCAGATGAGTGTGTATAAATAAATGTGTACATGTATGTGTAGTGTGACCTAAGTGTAAGTAGAAGTAGCAAGACATGCCTGTAATCTTGCATATTTATGAGACAGACAAAAGACATCAGCAATCCTACCAATATGTAAAACAATCACAGGCTTCGTTTTACACTCACTTGGCACTACGGTAGTACCTCCCTGGGTGGTTGCTGTCTATTTATTATTGTTACAATATAAATAATTTGTAATTTTTATTCACATAAAAAAAATAGAAGATTTACTGTTATGCAGACTACTGCATGATTGCAATAATTGTATAAAAAATGTCAACCCATTCACGACTGCATATTGGAATGCCTAAGAATCGAACATTTCTCCTACTTTGAGCTCAATTTCAAGGTATTTTTGTCGAGAAAGCAATCAAAATCATACCTATTTCTGCAGTATGTCTTCCATTCTATCAAATGAGACCAAAGAAACAAGAATACAACCATAAAAACCATACAAAAATACTGCTAAAGGGTGGCTAATTGCTGAAAAGTGAACTCCATTATTTGTGGTCTGATTTCTTTCATTTTCGGTGTACGTTAAGAAGCATCATTCCATCATACATTACCCAAGTTTCAATAAGATAGTCCAACAAACAAATGAGATCCAATTGCCTAGATCAAGAGCAAGAGCCCCTTCACCAGCGTCAAGGAACCTCCCTTGAGACCTGCTCACTTATGGAAATTTTGCTCTTATATGGAACAAAAAATCAACCAATCTACTGCTCGTATTTGGAAAAACTCGCACGTGGATGCGCTCGCAAGTAGAGGTTCCACTGTATATATTTTTACAGGCCTTGGTATTATGCTGTAGCAGCTCATTTTACGTAGAATTCCTCTTTGTTTATTGTAGCCACAAGCCAAAAGATAATTTTTCATCTGATAAAGATAAGAGTAGTATTTACATGGTATATAATTATCAATTAAAATTTTTTAATAGTTTTAGTGATTTTCTTGTTCTTGTGCACTGTCTTAATGAACTTCCTTCCATTAGATGCGTCAAGCTGCAGATGAAGATCGTCAGTTGAATACCCAACGAAAGCCTGCTACTAAGAAGGTAGCAATGTTAAATCTTGCAATGACTCAGATTAACAAACATAACCTTATTGAGGGATTTCTTGAAGCAAACATATTGTCAGCCCTCACGGATTGGCTGGCTCCTATGCCTGATCGCTCTCTTCCTGCTGCCAAAATTCGAGAAGCTGTTATTAAGTGGTTACTCCAGGTAATCATTACCCTTATGTTATTTTTCCTCAGTTTCTTGTTGGGCTGGTATTTATAGAATTTTTTATTTTATTTTTGAGATACAGTAATTATAATTTATAGGTTAATTTTTTTAAATGAATATGCTAATACAGTAGGGCCCCACTTATATGGCAGGTTAGGTTCCAGGCTACTGCTGTAAAGTGGAAATTGCCATAATGTGGAACACCCTTCTTTTCCCCTTACAAATACATACAAATACTAGGTAACAAGTTTACACTAACATATATTAAGTTAGCAATAGAACTAGGCATCAAAAAACAATAAAAAAGTAAAATACACACATAGTACACTCATTACTTACCTTAAAATATTTGTAGTCTTAATCTAGGGTGAGACAAGTAGTATTTATTGTAAGAAATCAAGTGTGGTATGTATGGTAGTCAGCCGGGCTACCATACCAGGCCACCCCACCTACACATATTCTATAACATTTAAACATCCCATAGCGATAAAATGCATATACAGTTCACTCATTACTTACCTTAAAATACTTGTAGTCTTAATCTAGGGTGAGATGAGTAGTATTTATTGTAAGAAATCAAGTGCAGTATGTATAGTAGCCAGCCAGACCACCCCACCCACACATACACATACTTTTCTATGATATTTAAGCATCCTAGAGCGATAAAATCCATATACAGGTCACTCATTACTTACCTTAAAATACTTGTAGTCTTAATGTAGGGTCAGGGGTGAGTAAACAAGATAAAATGAATAAATGAGAGAGAGAGAGAGAATGTGAGAGAGAGAATGTGAGAGAGAATGTGAGAGAGAGAATGTGAGAGAGAGAATGTGAGAGAGAGAATGAGAGAGAGAATGAGAGAGAGAGAGAATGAGAGAGAGAGAGAGAATGAGAGAGAGAGAATGAGAGAGAGAGAGAGAGAATGAGAGAGAGAGAGAGAGAATGAGAGAGAGAGAGAGAATGAGAGAGAGAGAGAGAATGAGAGAGAGAGAGAGAATGAGAGAGAGAGAGAATGAGAGAGAGAATGAGGGAGAGAATGAGAGAGAGAGAGAATGAGAGAGAGAATGAGAGAGAGAAAGAGAGAGAATGAGAGAGAGAGAGAGAGAGAGAATGAGAGAGAGAGAATGAGAGAGAATGAGAGAGAGAGAGAATGAGAGAGAGAGAATGAGAGAGAGAGAGAGAGAATGAGAGAGAGAGTGAGAGAGAGAATGAGAGAGAGAGAGGGAGAGAGAGAATGAGAGAGAGAGAGAATGAGAGAGAGAGAGAGAGAGAATGAGAATGAGTACATGAGGGAGGACAGGCGCAGAGTTATGTAAACAAATCAGGCAAACGTAAGTTTTGTAAACAAAGAAAGTGTACAAGTCTGGTTTGTGTACAAGTTGTCTCTACATTGATACGGTAGAATAAATAAAGAAGAACACTCCCATTCTCATGTAACACCATTTTTAGAAGAAATGACACTCTGAGTGAAGGCAGTGGAAATAAGTCACTCTGTCTGACTTTGGGTTATCCCAGGTTCTTTATACATATGCTGTTATGTATGATAATCTATGTAACTGCATTTGTTTATACCTTAATAAACTTACTTACATACATATGAAAGGAATAATTTTCTACAGTTACCCCCAGTAGCACATTTTCTCTGATGTTGTACTAGAGAAAATGTTATTCTTGCTGTCACTCGTAAAAGTCTGGCTCCTACATCTCATATTTACGTTTATTTATTCTATTGTTGGGTGTATTTATCATCTTTATATGTTATGTATCATCTTTATTATATAATTTTGAAAAAAATATGGATGGATTAATGGAAATGTGTATATTAACGTAATATACAACATTTAATGAGACTCGGTGATTATTATTATTATTATTATTTCTAATATGGCATCACTTGTGCAAGTCGTCTGCTACCACATCTCATATTTGTTTATTTATTCTACTGTGGGGTGTATTTATCATCTTTATATGTTATGCATCGTGTTTATTATATAATTTTGAAAAAATATCATAGATGGATTAATGAAAATACAGTGGACCCTCGACCAGCAATGGCATCGATTAACGATAAATCTGACTAGCGATACATTTTATCGCAAAAATTTTGCCTCGATTAGCGCTAAAAAACTCGACCAACACTATTCCTTCTGTCTGAGACGCGTCCACTTCTGGCCAGTGTTTACAAGCCAGCCAGCCACCGCGGTCGCTTCCAAGCATACAATCGGAACATTTCATATTATCACAGCCTTTTTAGTGATTGCACCTGCAAAATAAGTCATCATGGGCCCCAAGAAAGCTTCTAGTGCCAACCCTACAGCAAAAAGGGTGAGAATTACTATGGATATGAAGAAAGAGATCATTGCTAAGTATGAAAGTGGAGTGCATGTCTCTGAACTGGCCAGGCTGTACACAAAACCCCAATCAACCATCGCTACTATTGTGGCCAAGAAATCGGCAATCAAGGAAGCTGTTCTTGCCAAAGGTGCAACTATGTTTGCGAAACTGAGATCGCAAGTGATAGAAGATGTTGAGAGACTGTTATTGGTATGGATAAACGAAAAACAGATAGCAGGAGATAGCATCTCTCAAGTGATCATATGTGAAAAGGCTAGGAAGTTGCATGACAATTTAAATAGAACAATGCCAGCAACTAGTGGTGATGTGAGTGAATTTAAGGCCAGCAAAGGTTGGTTTGAGAGATTTAAGAATCGTAGTGGCATACATAGTGTGATAAGGCATGGTGAGGCTGCCAGTTTGGACCAAAAAGCAGCTGAAAAATATGTGCAGGAATTCAAGGAGTACATAGACAGTGAAGGACTGAAACCTGAACAAGTGTTTAACGGTGACACTGACAATGTTGTGAAACACTTTAGGAATGTCATAAAGGAACGGGAGGTACAGACCTCTATGGGCAGATATGTTGTGCGACAGAGGTCCAGTGACTCTCAAGCTGGTCCTAGTGGCATTAAAAGAAGAAGGAAAGTAACCCCGAAAAAGGACTTGCCACCTCAAGTCCTAATGGAAGGGGATTCCCCTTCTAAACACTAAGACCATCAACACACTCCCCTCTTCCCATCCCATCAATCATCACCAGATCTTCAATAAAGGTAAGTGTCATGTAACTGTGCATGTCTTCTTCAGTTTGTGTGTATTAAAATTAATATTTCATGTGTTAAAATTTTTTTTTTCAATACTTTTGGGTGTCTTGCACGGATTAATTTGATTTCCATTATTTCTTATGGGGAAAATTAACTTGACTAACGATTATTTTGACTAACGATGAGCTCTCAGGAACGGATTAATAGCGTTAGTCGAGGGTCCACTGTATGTATATTAACGTAACATACGATATTTAATGAGACTCGGTGATTATTATTATCTTTACTAATATGATGTCTCGAGACATAAGACACTCTTCCTGATTTTAATGCGTGCTTGTATGCCAGCACAGTATGTAAGTTTATTTAGGTACAGGTATACATAAGTATAATTATCAGAGTATATATAAAATAACTTTTAAAAACACTTGAAATTTTGGAGTTTCCAGACATAATGGAGAGACTTAGTGCTTATGGATCTCACATGGAATGTAAACAAACCGGGTGGGGCGCAGTGACCATATTAGAAAGTCAGGTTGGGGGGGAGTCGCATAGAGAGTTTTGGTCATAATTTGAAATGACCGTATTAGCGGAACTCCGTAAAGCGGGGCCCTACTGTAGTGACTATGTAGATTGTTTGAAATTCACTTACTTTTCACTGCAGTTATTCTATATTGCATTTTCTCAGAGTCCATTTCTTTATTGGTTTGTGAACTACCTGTATGTTTTATGTTCTACATCTTGAACATGGTATAGGTAATCTACAGGCCTGACTAATATAATTGCAGTTTCGTGTAAGTTATTATGCAATTCATCATAGTGCTTGCTTCCTAGTTTGCAAGTGGCTTAACCCTTTCACTGTCAAGAGCTGTGATCCTGAACTCGCTCTCAGTGTCAAAAACTGTTCTTTTTTCTTACCAAAATCTTAAGAATATTTTTCTGAGTGTTTTAAAAAAAAAAAATATATTGTGATCAATATTTACCGAGATATGGAGGTGTGAAGTTGACAGAAAGTGAGCCACTTATGGCGACATCAGCAACTGCCACTCGCTTGGTAATATTATATTTACTTTTACAGTGGAACCTCGGTTTTCATTTGCCCTGGTTTTTGTCGAATTCGGTTTTAGACTAGTTTTTTCATCAAAATATTGTTCCAGTTTTCGTTTATCACGTCAGTTTTCGTCTTCCATATTGAACATGTCCATCTGCCTACGCCCACACAAAGCATCCCACGCACGCATTCTGAGTCTGGCTTTGTTTCTTGTCGAGTGAACATTACCTTGCTCATTCATAAGAAACATTTCATAATAGTCCATTGTTTTCTGTACTTGTTTGAGTGCAAATGCTGTATAGGGCAGCCCTTAGATAAAGAAAGCAAGAAACACAATAGAATTCAATGATGGTAGAGGGTGGCAGTGATGGTGGTAGAGGGTGGTAGTGATGGTAAAGATAACCTCTCCTCTCTCTCCCCTCCTTACCATCTTCCATACCCCAACAAGAGTCTTCAGTAAAGGTAAAAGTGATTTAAGTGTTCATTTGTACATTTCATTAGTGCTTTATATTTATTTCTCGTTGTTTTCTGTAAAACTATAGTTATTCTCTATAAAATGTATTTTTTGTTAATATTTTTGGGTGTCTGGAATGGATTTATTGGATTTACATAATTTCTTATGGGAAATATTGCTTCAGTTTTCATAGTTTTCGGTTTTCATCAGGCTCTCTGGAACAAATTAAAGACGAAAACCGAGGTTCCACTGTATTCTATTTTTTCTTTTATTTTTAATATTTTAATTTTTCATGCAACTTTTGTGGGCTGTGAGACCAATATAATGTGTAAAGTACATATATGCACTCGTATGCAGCACAATAACCGCACAGATATTATCATTACGGTGTTTA